TCCTCAGGGCCTGACCATTTTCTTTCCTGGGTGCTGTGCTCATCCCTGCTGCCCCCACAAGTGCGACTGCTCTGTGGGGACACCCCAGGGCCCCTGCTCCCTGCCTGCCACCACCCCGAGCTTGGCAGGAGGCAAAGCGAGAGGCTGGTCTCCTACATAAGCTCAGCTTTCAGATGAGTAGAAGGTTTTCACTGAGCAGCTCCTTGTCAGGGACAGACTATAATTCCTGGTGTGCAAAACCTGTGATTGTCCCAGCCAGGCTAAAAGTGGGTGTGGAGGGCAGCGAAGAACCAAAGATGTGAGTAAGAGAACAGAGGTGAAGGGCAGAGCCAGGAAAGACAGGAAAACTGGCACTCACAGCTGGATTTACTGCTAAGCCTGGCAATAGCGGAGAGATGTGCTGTTGCAGATCTCAGCTGTGTAGTTGTGTGATTTTTCCTAACACAGCTAGTTTTAAATGAAATGAGGTGAATGAGTAATTTTTGAATTTAATTTTCTTGCACTTAGTTTCTCCCCATGACTGCAAAACTATGATAGATGGTGATGTTATTTAAAAAATTCTGTAGCTTTGCAAGTAAGAAAATATTTCTGATACAGCTCTCTTTTGGCTAATGAAATAGCAGCTTACGTGTGAGTTGGTATTAATAGCACAATCAGTAATGACACACGATTCAATTATTTTACTAGGTAGAGAAGCACTTAGACACAAACATAAGATACTTCTGAATCTAGGCATCAGCTGGAGGTGATTGAAAATACACTATTTGTGCATGTTTCTTCAAATAATTACTGTGGAAAATATTGTGGCATTGTAGTGAAAAGCATGGTTTTTTAATGCTAATATCTGAGGGAAGAGATTTGCCAAAGAGAAATACTCTTCTATAATCTCATGTTAATCTTCCTGACAGAAAGCAGAAGAAGAGGAACTTGTCCTCACACCTGACGGCACCAGGGAATTCCTAACATTTGAAGTTCCACTGAATGACTCTGGATCAGCTGGACTTGGTGTGAGTGTCAAAGGTAACCGGTCAAAAGAAAACCATGCTGATTTAGGAATCTTCGTCAAGTCCATTATTAACGGTGGAGCAGCATCCAAGGTGAGAGAGAACATCTGTGTACCTTTGACTTCCTCAGTTTTCCATAATAAGGCTGTTTGGAAAATAACCACAGATTCAAGAGTGAGGTTGCTCTGTAACTAGCTTTTTCCAATTATACCATCAGAGGTAACATTTAAACAGCCTTTACAGATTCTCTGGAGCAACCTCTGGGACAGTTCAATTACAATGCTATTTGTGTAAACAGGTTATGATAATAGCTTGCAGTGCAAATCTGTAATTGGAATAGACATTTCCTACAGTGGAAGCTATTATACCAGTGTTCATTTGGCCCTAATACTAGGACTAAGCATAGATGATTGATTATTTTTCTTTTGTTTTTTTTTTCCTCTCTCCAGCAGACTAAATTTCTTTTGTGTGTGTTTTATGTTTTATGTAACTAGGTATAATCTTTCCTTTTCCAGGATGGCAGGCTTCGAGTGAATGATCAACTAATAGCGGTGAATGGAGAATCGTTATTGGGCAAAACAAATCAAGATGCTATGGAAACTTTAAGGAGGTCCATGTCCACTGAAGGAAACAAACGGGGAATGATCCAGCTTATTGTGGCGAGGCGAATAAGTAAATGCAATGAGGTAATACGCTTTTAATATCAGGACTGAGAGTTTTAATTTCTAAGGCATTTGTGTTTTAGGAGATGTCATCCTTCCACTGAGACCTGGAAAATAATATTTGAGAAGCTAAAGAAAGAGAGAATTACAAAATGATCTGAATGTCAGTGTTAGACATGCTAACCTTATTACCAATCAATAAAGTTTTTCTTTTGAGTATTTTCATCAATGAATAACAGGAAACACTAAATAAAACTATATTGATTTTGTAATTGGATCCCACTGTTTATGTGATTTTTTTTCTTTGGAGTTTTTTATGTAGGTCTATTGAATCTTTCATTTATAGACTTAGTGTTTAACTGACTTGCTTCTCTGTCACTTTCATTTTTTTTAATTAAGAGTAGCACACTTACATTTCTTTATTATATTTTATCTAAACAATGAAAAGTTCCATGTAGAGATTCTGCAAAACTTTATGCAAATAATTCTGTTATTTTGGATTTTAATTGTGGTGTGTCTTGGCCTTCATTGTAGGGAAGAATGAAGTACTGAATTCAGGGTGAAGTGGTTATTCTTTTTCTGATATTTTTTGCAGATTTTGTCTTTTCCACTGGAGTGTTAATGTGTTGATGTTTTGAAACATTTCCATGATTTCTAATATTTTATCTTCTAGATTAATGTAAACAATGCTATATAGTAGAAATATGTGGGCATATGATGCTAAGAAGGACTGTAGATGCTGTGGAGAACTGATTTAGACTTCAAAATTATTTTGACAAATTGGAGGAATGCACTGAGTTAAATAGGGTGCAGTTGAATGGACGATCAGAGAAACAACTGTTCTTAAGACATCTAAAAGTCATTCTTTCATTCTTGTTAACACTGGTAAGGTCTTATTGGAACTGTTATTTCTTGAGCATCAGGCTTCAAGAATGATGTGCACAAATTGGCTTAGTACTGCTGATCTTGCCTAGGGGGAAAGGGAATGGTTTATTTTTTAATGCATAAAATTGATCTTAAAAAATTATGATTCATAGTGTATTATAAAATTATGTTTGAAGACACACTAGTGTCTCTAAAAGTATTAAGCTCCTCTTGATTAACTGCTTATACACAACTTTAATACGCATCCACATGTTTATATATACACACTGCTAGAAAGCCAGCTTGGATGCACACAGTTTCTCACTTGGTGTTGAAGGAATTCTGACCTTTTTATATTTGCTGATAATTCTGAACTCAGACTCCAGAGAGCACAGATTGTCCTTTGAAGACTGTTTCTTGTTCCTATTTGATTTCAGAAGTATTTCATATGTTACTACACAGAAAGGGTGAAATAATTTAGACTATTTCTGTGGGTTTGGGTGGTTTTTTTTTCCCAAAAAGGGAATGGAAGATGTTCACTCTTCTCTTAGTGAAAATCTCCTAGAACAAAGGTACCAGGACAGTGTTTGTAAACATAATAGAGCAAATCCAGGAATGATGAACCAAAGACATTGTTCCTTAAATCCAATAGATTTTTTTGCTTACTCATGTTAGGAATAGTTTGGTGCCCTACATCCGCTTAACATTCATGAATTTATTTTGCAGAAATCACATGGTAAAAATGGCACAACTCAGTCTACAGTATATGTTCTCCAAGATGAAAGAACTGATGTTAGAAACAGATTTAGACACACTAAAATGTATCTGTAGAGGGAGCAAGATAGGCCTACTTTACAATTTTTTGTGGATTTTCCCAGCTCTTTAACAAGCTAGTGAGATGAGCCGTAATAATTTCAGAAAGTGGTAATATGAAACTATTGGTGTAATGATCATGTTTGCCAAATAATTTCTGTAACTATTTTTTATGAGGAATTCTTGCTTTCATCACATTCATCCAAAGGAAATAATGATGTCAATACTGTTTGTATATTTTACTATGATGAAAGCACAACTTGCATGGACATGAAGATGTTTACCTGCTGAGCTGGCAGTATTCAAGAAGACAGTTTTCTGAACGTCTTACAGTGTCCAAAATTCAGTGAAATCAAAAGTGAAGAGAGAAATTTTTTTCTTAGCATTTTGCAATTAAACCATAATTCCTTGTTCAAGAATTGGACTGATTTAAACTTCAGATATTATTAGGCAGATATAATACTGGTAAGCTATGATAATATTATTTCTATATTGTGTAGACGTAGCACTTAGGGACATGGTTTAGTGGTGGACTTGACAGTGTTAGGTTTATGTTGGACTCAATGATCTTAAGGGTCTTTTCCAGCCTAAGTGATTCTATGAATACCTTATATGAGTACGTTATTCACTCACCTTAACCCCTAAGTAATGGACCCAGCTGGAGAGCAGCACTGCACCACTGAGCGTTGCAGTGATGTTCGCTTTCCTGTTGAGCATCAGTTATTGTCTATATCTGTCTGCCTCGGCTATATTATGCTTAATTCAGCAACTTAGATTATTTAGATGTGCTGGCACATAAGCTGTCCCTTTAGAATATCCCTGTAGCTGCCACCAGCCTAGTATACAGTCTCAGCAAAGATTTTTAGTATTAGAGCAAAAAATAAATGACATCTGTCTGGCAGCAAATTCAGGAGGTTGCAGATGAGAAATAAAAGCATCAGAATGGCAGAACCTGTCTTCATGAATCACAACTTTTACCAGCATGTTCCTCAGAAATGGGATTTTACTGTTTTTCCTTAAAGACAAAAAGAAATGTTTACCTTTTGAGAAAGTATTTGGCAAGTGTTTTCTATGTTTTTCTCTCTCTTCGTTCTCCAAATGTGTCGCCATAACAGCAGCAACAAAAAATATCCTGTTCAACTGATTTCTCCCCTGTGTTGATTCAGCATTGTATGTGGCCACTTCATGGACACAAATATAGCTTACACTCTTGTTAGTCTTGCAGAACTACAGTTAAGTGGAACGAACTTGATTATATTCCCTTTTGTGCATCACCAGCAGCAGTGTTCATTCCGCTCCGTTCCAGTGGCATGGTCATTCCTTCAACATGGTGTGAGGTCAGGACTCGGTGCCCTGGGCTTTCCCACCGTGCCGTGGAGCAGCCACAAGTCTCTTGGAAGGGAATTCTGTACAAGGGATGATAATGCCAATGCAAAAAAGAATTATGCTCAATGTCTGGCTGATAAAAACATTTGCTATCTGGCTGTTACAAACCCAATGGCAAAAAGAACAAAAAAACAAGCCTTTTATTTCCTCCTGGCTTCAAGTCCAGTAATGAGTTTGCATTTGCAAAATCAAACTGAGTTCTTTTGAGATAGATAGGCAACCCAGTCTGCTTTTTTTTTTTTTTTTTTCAGTTAAATTGAATTTGAATTGGATTTTAATAAAGTTAGTAGTATGAATACTTTTATTTTGTTTTTAATATTCATTTTCATAATCAGCCCTAAGAATTTCAGGGCAGGGGAAAATTCATTTGACAGTACAGGTCTGCAGAGAGCCATTTCTCTGTGTTTCAATTCAGACCAGAATTTTCATGTGCATTTTGTATTTTGGTTACTGTCTAGAAGAGAGGATGGCTCAACCCCTGGTGTCCTGCGTTTAGAGCGGCAGGGACAGTTGCCTCCCATCCGCTGCAGAGGAGCTGTTTCTTTGTCAGAAAGCTCTCTTAGGCTTCAGAAGCCAAAGTCTACTTAACTGGAGCATGAAAGTGTTTCAAAACTTCGTGAAGTGACCTCTGATACTCCTTGTTCATGTCAGCATTATTCTCATACAGCTTCACCAGTTCTCATGGTATAGACTAAGCCTCCAAAGCAATTATAGTAACAATAAATATGTACATAAACACCATAAGAGTATTATCTTGTCTTCGGAGATGTAATGAGGAAATAATTCACATCATCAGCTCTTACATAACTAAACTCAAAAGAGACCACAAACTTCCCAGAAGGTAAAAAGTGTTTTTGTGCTGTTGTGGTTTTACTGAACTGAAGAGTAGCCTGTAGAAAGAATTTTCATTCACTCACCAGGAGATAGGGTGTAATCCACCCAAGTTTTCAAGTGAATTATCTTGTAGTAAATATTTATATAAACATGGAGTGAGTGGTAGCTATGAGTGAACTCCAAGCCAAAACTGTGTGTCTGAGTTTTTCTCCTGTTTGCATTATATTTACACATAGTAATATAGTTAATTCTGTAAGCTGCACTATTGCAAACCTTGCAAAGCTTTGTTTAATATCTCGGCCACTCCAGACAAAATCACACAGTGAATATTTGATGGATGCTGTTAGATTAGTGTAAGAAAAACATTTAGTTTGGGATTTGGATATATCTAAGGTTCCCTCCCCCCTTTCAAAGAAGTTAAGTATGCTGTTCAAATCTATGTTTTCAACTTTCAGCCTTGCCCTCTGTGATCAGTATTGTGTGTTGATTCTTCAGCTTTCCTTTGTAAGCACAGAAAAACTTGAAGGTAAATTTCCAAAGTTGTGCAGACAGTGGCAAAAAGGGAAGAATAACAATAGTAGTGACTTGATACTCATATAGGCTCAGTATTTAACACTACAGTTTTCAGAAGACATGACCATCAGCTGTTTGGATCTTTAACTCAGGTTTGACGTTTTTTTTAATTACGGAGGAGCCTAAGATTTGAGGAGAAACACTGGAGCTCCTTGTGCCATGTTCTGTTAATTAGTGGTATTATTATGATTAACCTGTATGGACAAACAGCTGCTGGCTGTACAGCCTTAATGCATACACAGCGCTTAGGCTTGACTGTCAGTCGGATCTGTGCAGCTGGCGGCAGTATGTGCTGATTCAAGAAAATAAAGGTAATAGTTACTTTTGGAGTCCTGCTCTTTTCACTCCTGCAACCTGGACAGCTTAGAGGCACAGATTGCTCATCTGCAATCTGTTGATGTCACACGCAGGCAGCACTTGTCTGCCATTAAGAGAGACAGCATCACCATTTTCTTCAAAATGAGAAATTTCAAGGTGGTTTGTTTTTTTTCCCCCCTATCTTCCTTTTTTGATGGAATTAATGTCTTGCCAAACCTGCCTGAAAAAAGGGTTTG